TGTTTTCTTTCCTTCAGACTGTTTTCTAAAGCCTTGGAAATGCTGATGTCAGCCTAGCAGGCTTGTCGCTGCCTGAATCCTGTCTTCTAGCCAAACTCTTCAATTCAGGCGCTGGATTTGCTGTTGTGGTTGCAGAGAACCTCCCTCCGTAATTAAGAGTCTCTGCAGCCAAAACAGCAAATTCTTTCACTGGTGCTTCCAGAAGTCTGGGATGGGCATGATCTAGTCTTTCCCTCACCTCACACGTCTGGCTGTCTTCGCAATCAGCTAGTACACCTAAATATTCACAGCTTTAAAATCTATTCCCTTTTCCAAAGAGAGCTGGCAAGTCATTGAAACCCGAGATCCTGCTGCGGTATTGATGTCACACCGCTGCAGGAGAATAGCTTTGGTTTTGATGGGACAGCACTAAAATCTGGGCTGTAGGGGGGAAAGGAGGGAGGGAGCGCGTTGCCTTTTTGAGCTCTGAAGGAAAGACTGGAAGCACTTGTAGCACAGGAGATTCCAAAACGTGCCTGAGCTCCCTTTCAGGCTCATCTCATTCAGTGATTTCTGGTCAATGTTACTGCCGTAGCATGGGGTTTTCGGTCTCTTGCTCTAAATCACTCCTATTCTCTTGCCTCATCCTTTGAAGATGCAGCAAAGGACAAATGTGGTATTTCCTTCTGCCCGTCTCAATGACAAACATTTTGTCCGTGGATCACGGACATACACTGTCCTTGATACTTGTTATCCAAATGGTGATGCAGCAGTTGCCAAGGGTTGATGTTTTCTCCCCTTTAGAAACTTGATATACCTTGGCTAAGTGACGTCCCTGCTTTCGGATGCAATTGCGGCAATGCTAAATTTCCGAGGATTACCACTGCATGTGGTGGAATCTGGGAACCTCAGTAATGAGCTATAAAGTCAGGAGGAAAGCCAGGATGAAAAGATCTTGGCAGCTCCCCCATGATGGAAGATCCTGCTGTACTCAGTGCCATGGTGCCAAAACACAGCACGAACCATTAATTTATTCTGATGATACTCCCTCCTCAACACTGTCATATATTTCAGTATTCCTTGGCCTTCTCAAACTTCTTGGAGTCCCAGGAGCATCCCAGGGATGGGTAAGCCAACATACACGGGATGGGGTGATTGATTCACTCTCAGCATGAACAAGTGGAAGAAGAGGGATGTGTAAATGCCATTGCCCATGTGCCCTCTTCTTCCCTCCACCTCCTCACAGTCCAGGCTGTATCCCAGATCGATGGAAGAAACAGGCACAGATCGAGAATCGAGCCTTTTCCCGGCTCCCCTTCCATGTTTGGTTTCCTCTCCAGCTGTGCAGTTCAGCCAGCTGTGGAGGCCCTTGAGCTCAGCCTTTCTAAGGTGGGCCATTGCCTGCCTGGGTAGGTGGTGAAGGCAAGGACAGGATGGGGACAGCAATTAGGGGACAGGGTGGGGAGAGACCCCAGGATGGGAGCACGCTGTGGAATTGCATGATGAGGTGGTTGGGATGGAGCAGCCGGGGAGGTGGGGTTTTGTGTTCAAATTAGGGATGAGCTGTGTTCCTAGAGCTGCATGATGAGGACCCAGGGTCTGGCGACAGGGGGGAGGACTGGGAGAGGAGTGCATCAGCAGAGACATTGCAGGTGCTGGGGCTGAGGCATGGTGAACAGGGGATGGCCACAACTTGGGGTCATGGGGCAGAGCTGTGTTAGGTGGCAAAGCCTGGTCTTAGCGGGGGCTCGACTCTGTTAAATCACTGTCTACAGCCTCCCGCTGGCTCAGGCAGGATGCTGCAGCCCTGGCATGCCTACCGCTGTGACGGCCAATGTTGCTTTACTGGGCGATCCCAGATGTTTTGGGGATGCTTTGGGCACAGGTGGCCCGGACTTGTCTCCGTTCGAGCGCACACTGCCGGCCGCAGGCATTTGCAGCCGCTCTGACCCCAGCCCTGAAGAGGATGGACGCTTTGGTCCCACGGGGCACAGGGATCAGCTGCTGCCCTCCACATGCACCGGTGCCGGCATGGTGCTGTGCGGAGCCGCACACAGTTGCAGCTGCTGCATCTCCCCCTCTGCCGCAGGGTTTAACACTGTCTTCAAAAGTCATCCTCATGGCCCAGCCAGGAGCCCGTTTGCTTTTCTCCTCGGGACGCCACATGTACCACGAGCAGACGGTTTCTAATGGGGGAGACTTCCTGCAGTCGGAGCCTTGTAAAAACCTGCCATTGGGCCAGACATTTGCTCTGAAGGGTTTGGCGAGCGCCCTGGGCAGGAGATGGTGTCATCGCTTTGGAGAGCAAAAGCTGGCAAGATGCAGTGAGTGTGGAGCGCTGGCATCTTCCCCCTGCCAGCGCAGTGCTCCCGGGCTCCTCCAGCCGCACGGGAGCAGCCTGGCAGCTTTTTTTCCTTTTTTTTTTTTCTCTTCCCCTGTTTTTCTGGAACCCTGTACAGCATGAGCACAGTGGGGATCCCAGGGGGTTTGCTGCTAGCCGGAGAAGACGCCTTGTTCTCTGCCAGATCTTGCGCTGGGGAAAGGCTGGAGGAAATCCATTTTGCAACGTTTCTGCTGGGGCTGTTGGCAAGATTCATGCGAGGTGCAGCAGTCCCGGGCCAGGCTTGTTCCCCTGCCTCAGCAGCACTGAAGGGCACAGCCCAGAGCAGTCAGAGCACAGATCTGACCTGCCCGACCTCTGCTCGCTCCCCGCTTTACTGCAGATTTGCTTTTTGTTCACCCTAAAGAGCCTCCTGCCGAGCCAGCCCAGGCCATGACCTGACCCTGCCACCGGGTGCTGAAGCCTTTCCCTGGGACGGCTTTTCCACGCTCCCCTGTGCAGTGCCGGCACAAGCAATTTGCATTTCTAGCAGCTTCAGGTCAGCCTGAACCACCCGGGGTTTGCTTATGTCCCTCGTAAGAAAGGTTCTGGTGGCTACACGTGTTAATCTCGAAAACAAATGCCTCCGCATTGCTTTTACTAAATATAGGACAAGTGTCTGCTGTGGTGCAGGACACTTGCAGACAGCCCACAGCAGGGTCACGCTCTTAAATCGAACAGGAGTTTATCGGCCCCGTCCAGGAAAGGACTGGAGTTTAATGCTCTCTGCTTGCAGATTCGAGCTGCAGTGAGTCGAGTTTTCAAGGTCGATTTCATTCCCTGTCATTTGCGGAGGGCTGAGCCTGGAAATGTGAAATGGGGCTCCTCTGGGACAAGCATCTCAGCTCAGCGCTGTGTACGTTGGATCCTCCGCTTATCTCTCGTTAGCACAGATGCCGTTTCACCCTCCTGTGGAGTAACTGATACAGGGGATGGAGGAAGAAACCGTACCTTCTCGTTGAGTCACATCTCGATCAATCCAGTGCTGCAGGAAGTGTCATTTCCCACAAACGCACAAGTGTACATGCACTGCTGATGAAATCTTGTGAGGTCAGGCAGTCATTTCCCCCTAATTACAGCTCCAGGAATGAATAATGTTTAGCTTAGACCCTGGTGACTTTGTGCTATGGACCAGTTTTCATTTAAGCAAAATACAAGCACATGAAAATGAAGATGGGATTTGGATTTTTCCTTCTGGTTGTTTTGGTTAAAAAGATGCCATCTGGGGCTTGTATAACAAATTTGTTTTTGTTTGGTGATGGTCAGTGAACGAAAAGATCCAGAGCCCCAAATTGTCGTGCAAAAAGCCTCTGTATTAGAAACCTTCATGTTGCCAGAAATGGTTTGAGAGAGATGCTTTTCCCTCCATCACGTATGTCCCTCTGAGATTTTAGAAGGTCCCTGTAGGAGCAGGAACTTGGAGGACTGGAAGAACCTCCCAGGCCACAATCTCCCGAACAACGTGTCCTATCATCCCCTTCAGAAAAAACATCATCTTCCGTTTTAAAACTCACAGTGTGATTTTTTCCGTGGAAGCCAGCTCCAGGGCTGCACAGCCCCCATGGTTAAAACCTTCTTCTCATATGAAAACTGTCGTGGCATCCTCTGCCAACGGAGAGGGTCAGATAGAAGAAGCAGAGGGTGGGTGAGAGGTGGGACAGCTGCTTGGAGGTGTCACTGCAAGCAAGAGCCTGCACCCCTGTCATGGCTGGCTCCATGCATTAGATTTGGGATATCCAGGCGAAGTGGTTCTGCCCACGCTGTGCTGGAAACAGGTCCCTGGGGCTGAGGGATGGCAGCTGAAGCAGATGCTTCATAGCCTGGAAGGTGGTTGCATCCCTACATGATTTATGAGCATGAGAACTTGAGCATCTGTCACCGACTAAGTGTCCGGCACTGCATTCATGGCTGGCCAGATCCAGCCTCAGGTTTGGCGCTGCTGCAAATAGACCTCCAAAATGAAACCAGCCGATCTGCATGGCAGGAGAGGGGCGAGTACTGCTTGGGTGGCTGTCTTCAGCTTCAAACACTCAAGGAGATGTTGCTGGTTTAGAAGGGAAGAAAAAAATAAATAGCAAATAAGAACTTGAAACAACTTCTCAGTCAGACAGAGCATCTGACCAATTTGTCTATTAATGACTGTGTCTCTGAGCCTGGAAATGCAAACTCTGAGCCTGTGGGGACTCAGCATTGAGCTGCCGGTGTTGGATCTGCCCCTTATCACTGCCAAGCACAAATGCTATCTCGCCCCTCAAGGGGCCGGCAATGCTGGTCAGAGTCCTGTCACCTCCTGGGTCATTCCCTCGCCAATGCAGCCTGCACACAGTGGCATTTCCCAAATGCACATGGATCAAACTGTTCCCAGTTGCTCTTGAAATTGTAACAAGCCATTATCTTTATTTATGGTCTCTTATTTGTTTAAAGGTTAGGTCTGGACCTTTTGAACCCAAACTGCAGGTTTTGTTAAAAAATAAGAGGGAGGGACAAGCATTGCTTGAGTATCTTCTCTCGGAGCCAAACAGATTTGTCTCTTCTTGGGGGACATTGCCTCATCCCATTATCATGGAGATTGGGCATCTCCAGAGAGGGGGAGGGAAGCAGCCCCTCCCAACCTCTCTGATTTTTCTTGCTCCTTTTCCAGTTGCAGAAGATGGGGTTATGAGATCCACCTGGCAGGGGAAGTCCGGTCGCAGCCCACTCCAGGCCCTATACGAGAGTGACCAGGTAAGGGCACAGGGAGAGGAAGATAGGGTGAAGAGGGAGTGGGGCGCTGGGGGTTGACCCCTTCTTCCACCCCGCTGGTGTGCGGGCCACTGCGCTGTCTCCAACCACCCCCAAGGTCCCCGCACCTGAACCTCTGGCCGTGTGCAAAAGAAAAGACCACACCACCCTGGGGAGTAATTGTTGATAAAAAACTGCTTATGGCCCTTGCTGGTACTTGGGCAAATGGTTTCATTAGCGGTGGGCTGAGCCATAGCTGGGCAAACCCAGGAGATTTCACTATCATCTGAGGACTTCAAAGCCAACTCTGGGCCATCATAGCAGGGCAAGAGCATCATTGCTGCACTTTCTGAGCTAATAATCGGTAGATGCTTCTGTGTTGGGTGCTATACACACACACACACACACACACACACACATATATATGTACATGCATATGTGGACCCAGCCACGAGGGGTTTATAATCCTGGGACATCTCAGTCTTCTCCATCACCCTGAGCTGTGCCAGCTACACCTGCTGAGACAAGGGCAGCCAGGCACAGTCTGGGCAGGGAAACACTCCCCTCCAGGTGGGCTTAGTGGGTCCCTGTCCGTGCAAGGGTCTGCTGCAGGACAAGCAATGGTCGCTGCTTGAGGCAGGGGGCACTCACTCTCACCGGTCCCCAGTGCATGGAGCCCAACTGACATTGGTGACCCGGCACCAGGGAAGGTGTCTCACTTGCCCTTTAGCAGCTCAATGGGAGGGTTTGTGGTTGAAGCTGCAAAGGGTGCGTTTGTTTCCTTCTACTGCATTTCCCCCCTGGGCGGGCAGTTTCCCCCCATGCGGCCAGACTTGTCTTTGCAGAGGGATCCTCGTCCACAACTTCCCTGCAGGAAACCACCCTCCAACCGGTGCGACGGACTGGGCCATGGCCACGTGCCCCAGCCACCAAATGTGCTCTGCATCTCTGCACATCCACAGGGCAGTCAACTTCTGCAGCCCCCAAGAAGCAGAGGGCAACGCTGGTGGTCCCTGCAGCTGGCTGCCATCCCTGCTGCCTCCCCACTGCCCATCGGCAGTGCCCGCTGCAGCCAGAGCCAGATCTCTTTTCCATACGCAACACTGTGTTACTGTCTAGGTTGATGCTTTTATGTCTATAAGGAGATGAATAACGTTTGCTCTGGGAAAAATGGCAGATGTGAACTTCCTTGGCCACGATGCCGGCAAACCCTAATGCTGCTGGAATGTCGTGGTGTTATTTCCTTAGAAGTGATACTTAATTTCTCTGGCTTTTAAAGAAAAGGAAATGAAGGGAGCAATTTTGCTCTGAAATAACTGCAAGACATGCACTTATTCCAGTGGACAGCTGTTGAAAAGTAGTCACATTTATTTGTTGCCATGCCTGCAGACAGTGTCTGTCTGTCTATCTCCCTGGTCCAATAGTTTTGAATGATGTAAGTGCAGGGAAAAACACCTGCAAAAAAAATCACATTATTAAAATGCCTCTTTTTTTTTTGAGCAGTTGCAAAAAGGGTTTCCAATTTTAAAAGGTGATGGGGAGCCTCCAAACAAATTTCTGCTGAAATGTTTGATTGTGTCGCAAGGAGGTGTACCATGAGAATGCCTCTTCAGCTATGATTATCACTTCCCTAGGTGCTGTATCTTCTTCACATCCAAGTAGCCAACAATGTCAAAGTCCTCTCTTGGTGGCAGTTAGAGACTATTGACCTGCATTTCCTCTATCTGAGTATTTTCCCTTATCATCTCCCTCTTGGAAGGAGCAGGGAGGGGATGCTTTCTCCTGCCCCTGCCTCAGGTTACTGTCCATGCAGGTTCCTGGAGAAAGTGGTCGCTAAGGTGACCTGGACAAGGTTATTTCTTTTGTGGAAATGAGATCCAAAAGGGTATGAGTGTGGTTCATCCCTTGCAGGAGGAGCTTTTTGCCCAGAGGTTAGTGCCCCTCTGAAGGTGACGGGTCTGCTGGATCATCCACAGGATGGGCAGTTTGTCTCAGGATCCTAACTCCTGGCAGGAGCTTTACAAAGCCCCATCTCCACAATGCTGCCTCTCCCAGGCTCTAATGCCTCCCAAAAACCCTTATGGGCCCCCAGAGAGAGGTGAGGGTGCACCTGAAGCTTGGCAAAGGGTGTCCTTTGGCAAGCATAAGTGATGACAGCTGTCAGCAGCAAGGATGAAGAGACCCACGAGGTGGCTTGCCCTTGCCCTTCACCTTGAGGTTGTCACGTCTCTGCAGGCTGCAGAGATATTTGCCATGGCGCCCTGTGACGCCGACGGGACTGTCTTCACAACCCCAAAGTGGAAGTCACGGTCGCCTTGCGGCATGGGGGTCATTGCATTGCATTATAGCAACAGCTCCGTGGGGTCAGAGCTGCCTCGGGTTAGCAAATGGGCGGTGAAGCCGTTAGCGGTCGTGGCCTGGACAAGGCTGTTGGAGGTTCCCAGCAATGGCCTCGGGGTTGAACACGAAACCTCCCAACCCTCGTGAGCAAAATGAAGAAGGAGTGGGCAGGAGGAGGAGGGGACCTTCCCCTTCTGAGTTCCTGGAAATGGTTTCCTTCCCCAGGTTTTAATGACATTTTGGGATTTCTGATGAAAAACCATGACAGGAAAGGTCACATCCGCAAATCTGGAGGGGTGGCTCAGCTGGGGCAGGGGTCGGGGGGCTCTGGACTCCTGGGAAGCCAGTGCAGCGGCTGCCAGGCCTTGACACAAGGATCAAAAGGGATAAAGAAAAAGGACCTCCCTGTGGACCAGAGCTGAGGCATTGGACTGGCCTGTGTGGAAAAAGTCCCTCAGGAGAAGAAACCCAAAACCCTTGGGAAGGGCCACCCCAACACCTCCAGCAGCGCCTCGCTCCTCTCCATCATGCCCTGCCACCCCACCTCTCCTCCAGCTCCCCGTCTGCTCGCCAGGGTTCGACCGTCAGCGTTAAAGACCATTTTCCTCCACCCATCTCCCTTTGCCCGTCCTTGGCAGCACACCCGTGCCATTTTCATAGTACATGCCCGCACTCGCGTGCCACGTTTCT